GTGTCATTGAAAGAATAATTTATACTATTATACTATATTCAGTATGTGGCTAAACTAAACTTGGCTTTTCGTGGTCCTGTAACAAATTATTTAAAAGAAATAATGGAAATTTTTAAAATGTATAGAAATAATAGCAAAATTTGATCCAGTCATGTCTGCACATATTAATAGATCTCAAAAAAATATTCCACTTTACCTTGGAGATAAAATTCAAAACGAAACCATTAAATTAATAGGTGACATTGGGGTCTATTCTGTAACACATCCGTTAAAATTTAGAGTCCTTTAAAAATTAAACTTTTAACGGCCCGTTAATTTTTTTAACCGAAAATGGTATTCTGTGTACACAAATTTTAGAGGCCAGTTAAAAATTATTTATTTTAACGGATTCCCTTAAAAATTACAAAAGAATTTCGCATTTAAGATTCATTTGAACTCATTTTGAAGGATTAGAAGAATAAATTTGAAAACCTAAACATACCTCAATTTTCAATTCAAAACCAAAACATACCTACATCCACTTAAAATAAAAAATGTCTTGCGCACCAAGAACTAATAAAAACCAAAAAGAGCTGATGATAAACTTTTTAGAACAGCAAAATTTGCTTTACGGTGCGAAAATAAACCCAATAGACAACAACGAAGTTGGCTCTATAATATTCACTACAGTTTTGATTACATCTTTAAAACCGTTTTTAAAATCTACATTTGGTAACTGAAATAGATCGCTCGAGTCCCTAACTGACCTTTGATGTAATCAAAATTCGGGTTTGAATTAATAAATGTAATAGATCTACCTACATTATAAATGTTTTCTACTTTATTATACCTTTCTTCATTTTCCAGTAACTCTTCAATCAAAATTTCTCCAATTACGTAATAAAACGCCATTATTAAAATATAAAGGAATTGTTACAAAATAAAAATATTTTAAACGAAGTTAAAAAACAGTATTTTTCTATATTACTTAATTGTACTCCTGATGTGAGCCACCAGGAGCAGATTTCTGTTTGATTAAGATACGTTCATCTAAAAAACAATAAATTTAGTATCGAATAACGTTTTTTTATCATTTCGTCCTATAAATGATACAACAGGTGAAGGTTTAACCACCTCTTTACTAAAAACTTTGGAGAATTTTGATTGCACCGCTGTTATTTTGTGCCTTTTTGCTGTATGTGTGCCGCCCGACTCTAGGGTTGCCAGATCGGAATATTTAAAAATCGGGATTGCCAATTAAAAAGCTACTAAAAAATCGGGACTTTTCAATAAAAATCGGGACGCTAACGAATAATATATTAAAGAAAATAAAATACATAATTCTCAAAATAGAACAATACAATTTCTAATAAAATCTAAAAACAAAAAAATAACGCAACATAAAATGGCATTAGTCAATGAAATCTTAATAGTATGAATAAGTTAAAAATAAGTGACTTATAAATACTTTTCATTTTTTCCGACTTCTAAAAGTATTTTTTTCTTATCCTTCGCATATTCGTAGAAGTCTTGACATGTTAATTTCAAATTTGACTTTGCAAGCAATTCATTTTTTATGCTTTCTGGTGTACATCTGTTGCTGCTATCCCGCCAAGTATTTTGCATCACGGAAAAAACTCTCTCTGTTTCCGCATTACTTACGGGAATACTAAAAAGAAACTGAAGAAGAATTTTCAGTTGTGAAAAATCATCTTTTTCCTTTTTAAAAAGTGCCATCCATTTGTCATGGGTTGAACCATCCATTTTTCGCAATTTGGGAAAAAAAATTTTTAGCTGTTAAATAGTCTTCATATAAACCATCTAAATCGCTTTTTATGTGTAACAATTCAACTATCCCAACCAAAACATTAAAATCAATGTTGGTTTCTGTTTTAAATGATAATGGGGTTATATGAAACAGGTATCCGATTCATCATAACAGAACCATTTTACTAAATATTTAATAGTTACGTCATAAAACTGGATAAAATTCTTAGTGATGGACTTGCTTTGTTGAGAAGTAAATTTCTTTAAAGTGACACCTGCTTTATAGCCAAAACACTTGTCAGTTCTTCTTTGAATTAATTTGTCCCTTAACGTATCCATTACAGATTACAACTTCAAAACCGTTAAATCTGATTTTTTCAAAGAAAGTACCGCCTCCTGGAATATGCGTAATGCATTCTGCATTCTGTTTTCTGTCGATCGCCGTCCGTCATGTCACACATTGTTGCCAGCACCTCCTAATTGCCTTCTGAATATTTTACCCATGCCCATGTGAAATCGGGACAATTAGCGTCCCGACGCACACTGGGGCAACAAGCCATCAAAGTTGGCAATAAATCACAGACTTTCTTTATGAATTTGTAAGTTAAATACTGCTTTGTAGAGGTGTTAGTATTACAAATGAAAATACTTAGAGGGCTTATAAAGTGTTTGCTAAAAAAATAGAAAGTTATTAAGAATATAAAATAATAAAAATGTATATTCTATTCTTAATATCTTTCTATTTTTTTTTTAGCAAATAAACACTTTATAAGTCCTCTATGTATTTTCTTTTGTAATACTAACATATAATATAATAAAAATGTCATGAGCCTAATGAGGGCCTAAGTACCGTGGGGGTAATCCACTCTCCACACGTTAAAGATACAGATAATAAAAATGTAATATTATAATAATTTCATTTAGAAAAGCTATGATAATTGTAATCAAATTTCATCCTCTTTAGAATGTGATAAGACATTTTCTTCATCGTCTCCACGGTCATCATCAGTGTCATGAATATACCATGGCTATGAAACTGGACGTGTCCAGATTTAAACAAATCTACTGCTTCTTTAGGAAAGTGCTGCAGGTTCTTTCTTTTTTAATTTTCGTTTGCTCGTGATTACAAGGTCGAAACTAAGTAAAAACGAATTAAAGACATCCTCATTAGTTTTCTCTGTTAATTGGTCTTTAGGCAACAAAGCAGAAGATATTATTTCAGGCCCATGAATAAAATATTTGTGCAATGTCGGAGGCATATTGACCGTGGGTACTTTTCAACAAAGTATCTAACGGTGTTGTGAGCAAATTCTATTAATTTCATTCTTTCCAGAACTTCTCATGATATTAAGAAGTTTCTTTCTCGATAAAAACATAGTGGTCGGAAAGTATATTTAAATACCTACCAAATCAGATCCATTGAGTACAAATCGGTCAAAAACTAAAATAGCAGCGTTGCAAAGCATAATAATGTGTTATTATAGCCTTCTATGAAAACATAAAAACCAGACAACTTTGATTGTCTATATCTTACGATTGAATGGACTAATCGTGCTCGGAGAGGTTTTAAAATAAAGAAAATAGGTTAGATATTTAACTTTTGTTATTAGATTTTATAGTTAATTTATAATTATTACGCAAAACGAGCTTAAAATGGGTTACTTTTAGGCTCGTTTTTTTTTCTTCAATTAGGTCGGCCATCTTAAATTTTAAATTTCTATCATTTTGTTATGTCTATCTGGGAGCATATTTAGTTGCCTATAAAATGAACCTAAGGACAATAAAATCGATTTATTAATAAACGAAATATATTAAAAAAACAGAATTCGCTTTTGATGATCGTCCCGCCATATATTTATATACTTTGAAAAACCCCAAATAGTGAAGAAGAGTGCAAATAAGTGCACAGAAACTAAACGATTTCGAAAAGTACAAACAATATTCATTATGAAAAGTCGAAATTTAAAGCTGCTTTGGAACACAACAAATAGCCTTCATGTATTTAAGAATATTTTAAAATTTTAACGTTTAACCTTCATTTTACTTAACCCCAATATTATAAGATTACGTTTATTTTTCTACAACTTTTTACTTATTAAAATAATAATACATAGCTGAACTTAAAGGCTCCATGGCGGAAATTTGAAAAAAAAATCAGAATACAGTCTAATCACAGTACAAAAACAAGTTAAAAACTACAAAAATAACAATGCATATATACTCGCCTCAGATAAGTAACTTTGACTGAACGTGGCGATGAAACGCGTGAGACAGAAGATCGCACTTGTTGGTTTTATTATGTAGTGGACAGTAATATATAAGAAAAAAATATGAGGTAGAGTGTATATCCTATTTAATTTTTTTATTTATTGCCAAGTTTGAGGGCTTGTTGCCCCAGTGTGCGACGTATAGTCCATCGGAACGCGGGACAAAACTTCCGATATCGGGACTGTCCGATCGTCGATTATATCAAGGTAAGGTGTCAAAAACGTTTAATCATATATTTAGTTTATATTATATGAATCAGCACTTTTGGCACCATAACATCTGTTCTGTCACATTATTGAAGGCCTTACGATTGAAAAAATAAAATTAAAAGTATTAGAAATACATACAATTTAGAAGTCGATAATAATTGAGAAATTGACGAAAACTCATGACTGACTGGACTTGTGTAAACGACCTGGGTCCAGCTCTTTGCCAGTGAGACTGGCGCCACTACTGGATATATGTAAATCGGCCTTAGCATGATGATATAAGGTCCTCTCCAATAAAATTTAAAATAGATACTTTGGCGAAATTACATATAGATAGGTTTATAATTGGTTATATCTTTTTATCCCCTTTTTTGAAAACTGAACATTCTCTTGAGGTCTTCCAAATATCCAAAACTCTTGATGGCTTATGTTATTAAGGATGACTAACTGAGATGCAAGTTAAAGGCCAAATCGTTTACAATAAAAACTGGAATATGGTTTAGACCAGGTGTCTTTTTGGGCTTAAATAACAATAATTCTTAAAATTAAATACATTCAATATAATAGACATACTTAAATTACAATACCGTTTCTTTAGAATATCTTTCTTTTTACCTTATTCCCTTAAAAAAGAACTTTACTCCGTTTTTCTAGTGTTTTTCTTTGCTCTAAAGATTTCCTTTTCTCTCTTAAATCTACTATTTCTGTCAAAAAACAGCCCTCTATAATAATGTATTAATTATATTGTATCTAATATAAACGTTTACATTTTTTCAGAGCCAAAGAAAACTACGATTGGGGATTGAGTCAATTAGACTCGATAATGGATCACAAAGAGGTCTGCGGTAACCACTTTTTAGTGTTAATTCATTTTGGAGATCATTGCCTGCATCATTTGTTCCCAACATTGGATCATGGAACTTTGGAGCACCTTTATCCGATTTTCGAAGAGGTTCTCAAAAAGTTTGATGCTAATTTAAGATTTGTCACTCAATGGGATACTATTTGTGGCAACTTTAGGCAGATGACGAGAAACGAAGCCAATCCGAATCCACCAGACTTGCATAAATACAAAATAAAGAAAAAACACTAATAAAATAATTAGGAATTATATATATATTTTTTTTTTGGAATAATTATCGACCTGTATTTGTGAAATACAGATTATTCAACAATACCCGTATCCCACGTGACTAAATTGACTTCATCAGTTAACTAAAATTAACATTGAACCAGGGCTGGTATACCTAACGAGTTCGCGACATAGTCCTAGGTTATGGATAAGGGGATGACTAAGGCTAGGGGGAAATAGTAGTCAGCTTAAGTTAACAACACTTTTCTGATGTTTGTTTGGCGAAATCCGCAGTTATCGTTCGTCTTGCAGTAATAGTATTATAAAAACAGAGACAGATCTACTTTTAACGTGCACAATAATGTCAATATGGTACTAGTGGAATGAACCACTGTTTTCGTCATAGTGCAATAAAAACTAAAAACATTTTATGCTTTTTTATATACCAAATTTTGCAATTTATTTCCACTTTATTTTTATGTTACATGAATAGGTACATGCGTTTGTGCTGTGGTAAATAATAGTCCAAGGGCCAACTGCAAAGTTCGACCGTCATCTGATAACGAAATTAAATATACTTCAAAGGCATGTAAAAATATTGTACTTTACCAAACGGCACCTGGGCCTATCACTATCCTTAGCAAAGTAGTTAAAACAATGGCACTCCCGGTGTCATAATTAGCGAGAAATGTCGTCATTTGACGAGATAAGACTTATGCCATCGGATAGCCATTGATTAATAGAACTCAAAAATGTAATTGTGCTACCTCCTTTCCTCAGCCAAACACTTGGCACGGTCTTTTTTTTCAGCCAAAATTCTCGACAAATTTCCGTCATGTAACGAGTTAAAACAATATGTAATCGAAAGGGCATAATGTGCCATTCACGAATATCCACATGTGCCTCATTTTAACCTGAGCTAAGTTGTTGGCACAGCGTAATTTTTGAGACGCGCCTCGCCCCAGCTAATTTATTTCTTATGTACAAAAAAATGACGTAAGCCATAATAACCATTGAAAATTACAATACTAATAATTAATTGTGAACCTCTTACTTAAACCTTGATTTATATCCCAATTTTATAGACTTTTTAAACAACTTAAAAAAAGGAGGAGATACTCAAATCGTCGAAGTATTTTATTTTTTGTATGTTCACCGATAAATCTATTTCTACGATTCTTTTTTATTGGAAACAGAGCACCACAAGGTTGGTCATATATAAATTTGGGCAAAATCTGATGATAAGATACACGAGAAAATAAACTCTTCAATTAGTAAATGAAGTCTGTTTTTAAAATTACTTTCATAACTTGTCAATTATCAATATACATGTTTATTATTTTTCCAGAATACTTTCTCAGGTATTTATTTAGATATATTTTATTACTTTTTATATTTATAAAAAAGTGCAACTACAAATTCAAATTAAAATTTAATACGACGATGATATGGTTATATTCGGAAGTTTTCCAGAAAATGTATATAAGTTATACTAAGAATTGTTAAATTATTTATTTTTAAATACGTGAAAAAATTAAATGAAATAAATATGTATACACAAACAATTTATCAATACAAAAATACATTATTATTAAAAAAACCTCGGATTTTGGTAAAATATCTACGATTCAGCAACCGTCATTAAATTTACCAACAGCTTTGAAAAACGATAATATCATATGAAAGCCTTCTAAATTGATAAATAAACGATCATATACCTATTGGACTTTCCAGACTTTGAATTTGCATTTCTATTTTCGCGATTGCTAGATCATGAGTTACGATGATCTGTTCTTGATAGCATTAGTCGGCTACTTCTTTGGTTATGACCAAAGTTTCATAAACTACATTATAGAACGTAGGAGACGAACTTATTGAAGGCATGTAATCAATGTTCTGCACTTCACTAAAATTCACAATTACTGACGAATTGTACCCTATCCACATTGGTATCTTGTGCAAAAGATAAAAAAACCCATAACATATCTCTAGTACAACTTCAGATGATAACAATGAAAACGTCGCCTTACGGTTGAAATAGTAAGGTTTTAAAACACGCTAGGTTTCTTTAAATTTGCGTCTGTTATGAGACTTACTCTCTGCAGTAACATTACTATCGTTTGAAGATGTTTGCTTAATACGGTCAGATGTTTTAGCAAGTGGCATAGTATGATCAGTTTTTGGGAGATAATTCATATATTATGCCCACCGTATCATGGAGAGTACCCATATCAGTATCAACAAATCTGTCAAAGTTATCAAATGCTAAATGTGTTGAGAGTTCATCAGTGTCTTGAATACCAGGGATCTTAATTGATTTTCTTATTGGGTCGTAAAAGTGAGCTCAGTCACGAGCTCTTCAGCCAAAGGATGCCCGTACTTACTAATCTAAGACTAAGGTGTCGCAGCAAATAGAATTTATTCGAAAGAGATATTCATTAGATTGTTGCCTGCGCAAGTCAGAGCCATGAATAAAATTGAAAATGAGATTAAAAAGATCAACAGGAATATTGCTTTTATAGAGTTTCTATCGGACTTTCTCTAATCACTGTTGAATGTAATAACTTAAAAACAGCGATGTCATGCTTATAAACCAATTTTTTGCTTGCTCCTATAGGGGACGATGTTACCGTAAGAACGTCAACAAACTCGCGTATAATTTTTTCTTGCAAGTGTTCTGATATATAGTTTTCCGAGTCATTTTTAGGGTTTAAACTCTCCTCCCCTAATGGAAACGGTTTTTTTCGCGTTTTTTTTGCTTTTTTGTTTTTTTGCTTTTTTGTTTTTTTGCTTTTTTGTTTTTTTGCTTTTTTTTTTTTATTTTTGGCCTTTTGTCTTTTTTGTCCTTTTTTGGCTTTTTACCTTTTTTGGCTTTTTACTTTTTTGGATTTTTGGATTTTTGGCTTTTTTGGCTTTTTTTGCTTTATTGGCTCGATCTTAATAAAGTATTTAAAAACACTTTCATAGTATTAAATCTTCTACGATGGTGCGGAACCCTTCATGCGCTAGTCCGACTCACACTTGGTCGGTTTTTACATAATATATCTCCTTCGACATTTTTAATAACAAAGCAAGATATT